GGAATGGTGCCCAGAGTCTCCCCTCGTTAAAATCAGTGTATAAAGGGAAGAACAAAAAATATTGACAAAACCTGTGGGGGAGGTCTATATTTTCGCGACTCTGCGGATATTTGCTCATGGGGGATTCCGGCAATAGTAACTCACAATTTCCCCCCTTGGATTTTCCCCAAATTATCTGAGAATTTTCCTCTGAGACCCTCCAGCAGGTGTCCAAAAGAATGAACAAATGAAATTGACGAAACGCCTAAGCCTGTTTCAGATGTACGCATATTCACGGATTTTCGCTCATTAAAGAAACTTGCAACCTTGCTCGAACTTTCCCCCTCGAATTTTCCTGTAATTTCCAGGGAAAGATCCCGGGAGTTTTTTTTTTTATGAAAATTATTGTCAAAAGAGATGAGCAAATGAAATTGACTACACGGCTGAGCTTGTTTTAGATTTACGAGTATTTTTGGATTTTCGCTCATCCGGGAAAACGGCAAATTTGCTCGACATTTCCACCTTGGATTTCCTCTAAATTTTCCGAGGATGTTCCTTGGAGGATACACTCAATATGCAATGTGTCAAATCGGATGAGCAAATGAAATTGTGGAAACGTTAGAGCGTCCAAATTTACGCGACTCAACTCGTAAGGATGATGGGGCGATTCGGCAACATTGCTCAACATTTCCCCCTTTGATTTTCTCGAATTTTTCCGAAACTGGTCCTGGGAGTCCATACGCAATATATGATGAGTCAAATCGGATGATCATATGAAATTTTGGAGACGTCAGAGCCTCTTTTGAATTAACGCGATTCGACTCGTATGGATGATGAAGCAATTCGGCAAAGTTGCTCAAAATTTCCCCATTTGATTTTCTCGAAATTTTCCGAAACTGGTCCTGGGAGTCCATACTCAATATATAATGCGTCAAACCGGATGATCATATGAAATTTTGGAAACGTCAGAGCCTCTTTCGAATTAACGCGATTCGACTCGTATGGATGATGGAGCAATTCGGCAAAGTTGCTCAAAATTTCCCCCTTTGATTTTGTCGAAATTTTCCGAGGATAGTCCTTGGGGTCCGTACTTAATAAATAATGCGCCTAATAGGATGAAGAAATGACTTTGTGGAATCGTCAGCGCCGGTTCCGAATTTATCCGACTCGCGAAGTGTGGATGATGGGGAAAATTGGCAACATTGCTCGAGATTTTTGATTTTCCTGAAATTTTGCGAGGAGGTTCCGTGGAGTTCATTCTTAAGAAAATCAGTAGAAAAACTGACGAAGCATCACCTCCACCCTCCCTTCGCTCTTTCATCCCTGCCTTCCTCACTCCCCTCCCGCTCCCCCTCCCTCGCTTCTGTACCCTCCTCTCCTCCCGTTCTACACCCTTATAATCTCTCCCTCCTCCCCATCTGGTACATGGTGGCTACGGAATTTTATGTTCCCAGCAGCCAAACTAGCCATTAAGGTGATTCGATTGACGCCATATTTCGTGTCAGAACGGCATGCGATATATCGCATCAATTGGTTCCATTTTTTCAGCTACTCGTCATTTTTCTCCAATTTTGAGATCGCAATTCTGTTGTCAGGAGGCTAAAGCACTCACTTACCAATTTTTACAAACAAATTCAACGTAATAAAGGCGTGGTTTTTTTTAGAGAAAAAACATCGCATTCGATACTGACATCGAAACTGCACTCGAATGCGATATTTTCTCTCTAAAAAAACCACGCCTTTATTACGTTAAATTTGTTTGTTAAAATTGTTAAGTGAGTACTTTAGACTCCTGACAACAGAATTGCGATCTCCAAATTTGAAAAAACTAACGAGTAGCTGAAAAAATGGAACCAATTGATGCGATATATCACATGCCGTTCTGACACAAAATATGGCATCCATATCGAATCACCTTAACGGCATAGTTAAAAAAATCGATTGATAATCGATTAATCGATTATTCACTGCCGATTAATCGCCTGATTGATTAATTTCGTATTCCGATTACCGATTATCGATTATGCAAGTTTTCAAATAATCGAACACCTCTAGCGCGAAAACGCGAACGAGACCACGAGAGGAGTCGAGAATAATTTAAGGTTAGGATCGGTGCTTTTAGTTGTTGTCAAACGTGGCAATTACGATCCCCAGTTGCTGCTTGTGAAGTGGACAAAATAAAAATCACAGCCGCGAAATATAGGCAATCAGCATTTAAACAGATAAATACAATAAATTAATAATAATCAACACCTCTTGGGAGTCATAGATAAAAAACCTTTCGCGGCATATTTTTAAACAGGAATGTGGGTCGAATCAGCATTCAGATGTTGGTGGAAAGAGCTACAATCCTTGTTATGAATATCAAAATGACCAACATAAACGCACGGCTATATCTATCATAGCAATTTCATTTATCGTCAAAAATTCTTTGGATTATGTCGAAGCTAAAAACTCAATTCTTATTTTAAGACTCGTCAAGAACAGTGAAATGCAGAGAAAACGGGGAAAGGGTTAGTGTTTTTCTTCAAAATTGTATATAAATCTTAGACTCAAAAATTTAAAATTTCAATAAATATGCAATTGTGAAGTATATTTTTTGAGGGAAAACCATCGCAAATGCTCGAAATTTTCATGTAAAGAAACTTTAATACGCTGCATACGATGCACCAAATATAGATGCAAAATATGTTTCTTGGGAAAAAGAAAATGAGAATACGTATTCATCACGGTTACTAAAAATTCAATCGGGAGAAAGAGGTTTGACTAGGCAAGTGTTAAATAATGTTATAGGTTTTAATCTTCACAAAACTCAATTAAGTAAGTAAAACTATAACTTTAAGTCATAGTTAACTTATTATTAAGTTATAATTAAAAGGACCACTTAAAAGTATAAGTACTACTTTTTTAAGTTATACTTTTTAATAATATAGTGACTGAATGGAGTAATCACCTGGACAGCAGCGTAAGTATACGACAAATACAAGGCAAGGGTTCTTCAAGCACTACAAACGCGTAAATTACTTTAAAAAAAAAAAAATAAAATAAAATAAAAAGCGTTAAAGTTGCTCCAATTCCCACTCTTTTAACTACTTCCCCATAATTAGAGCCCACATTGCCACTGATATTTACGTCAAGAACTGGCTTGCCGAGAAACCTGTTTTTTCGCAAACAAAATAACTCCACACCTGTACTTAGCCACACACACACACACACAACCCAACGCACACATTTCATTGGTTGTCTTCATCAGTTGACAATTAGTCGTGTACTTAGTGGATGAAATCCTTCTTGGTAAGGTACTCAGTGAGCAGTGGCGTGGCGTGCTTTGCGATCTATCGATATTTCCCCATTTGATGCTGTGGTAAATAATCGATTTTTAATGTGTTCGCTGCGAACATCCTGTTTCTCGATACTTTTCCATAGGTTTAAATGTCCAATCAATCGATATATCACAAAGCGCGTCACTACACTATCAGTGAGTGTGCGTTGATTTCTTTTTTTCTCGTCTTGATCAGATCCTAATTATCTCAGATCCCACATTGTGTGGCAAAACAAATGTGAAGGATTCCAATAATATTTTGTGACAAACAGAAATGTTAATATAATCCCTCGAATTAAGGATGGTCATTCTTATAACTTCTGCCGTTGAAACGAAAATGAGGAATTTGATTTTCTCAAGCACTCGCCAGAATTCAAGGATTTTAGGAATATTTCAATTTGTCGGAATACTTTTCAATTCATCAAAATTTCAAAAAACGCTAGCATAAAATTGCGGTATTGTGAAAATTAAACGGCCTAACCACGAGTTAGTTTCTCATTCTTCAGATGTAATCTAAAACTCTCGTTGGTTCCTTCTAATAAGTCAGTACAGGATTTCCTGCCATTTTGCAAAAAGAAAGATCACTAAAAATGTTTTACGTCTGTTGGAAGATTGCTATCACGCATGACTCTCTGTTGAATTGAAAACTTACTTTTGCGGTGTTTTTGCAAGTTACAGTTTTCGTGTAGGAGGCATTCTCGACAAAACGAATTTCCACATTCAAGATTTCAATCCCGCTTGACAGCAAATTTTTGAGTTGAAAATGTTAATGCGACGAGCCGTGGGTTTTTTTTCTCCATTTGGAGGGTCTACTGACAGAAAATCAGTATCAAACTAATTCATTTGCTCTTTGATGCAAAATGTTTGCTGGTACTAATGTACCTGGCTACGTTCATGTATGGACTTTTATGGCATTATCTGTGCAGTACTCAAATTATTTTTTCGCATTTTTAATGAAAAGGAATGAAAATTTTTCAGGAACGCGTTGGGGTATTTCGATCTTAATTCTCGATGTTGAACTCGAAAATTTCCTTAGCATAGTTCTACTTTTTACCGCAAAATTGCAAGTATTTTTTGAATGGGGTTTTTTTGGTCCAATAAGAATTTGCAGTTGTTAAAACATCGATTTTCAGGAAAAATGTTGCGCGGTGATAAAGATTCAAAATCACCAAATAAAACGAGGAAAATACACAGTTATGGCGGAAAAATTGTGTCTCACTTTCTTCAAGGCAAGACAAATGTTCAAATGCATGTACAATACCACACGAAGATATATGATCGCAGCGCAGTGTATGCACAACATTAACTACAAATCTTTTGCATCAAAGAGCAACGGTATTTTTTTGATAATGATTTAAGGGATCCCCGAAACCTCTTTCCTAATAAAAGTAAACACAGGTACTGATCGATTTACATTTTTTACCCAAAACTTAGTTGCACAGTACTTTTCTAGGAAAATGATGCCGCACAAATCCATAGAGGTTAGTTTTGGATGCAACAACACAATGAGTATAGACATACTTGTTTCATGCGTTGATTTCCCAGTGTACTTATAGAAAGCGGAATTGAATTGTATTCATGATAGAGTCGCCCCTTCATTTTAGTTTTTCTTTTTTTTTAGTTATACTTATTGCTTCATATTTTTTCCACGTTCTTAAATGAACCGGTCACCAGCAAGGCAAGAAACATAGACAACTTGTTGTGGATGGATAATTTTACATTTTATTTAAAACCAGATTCTAATAGCTGAGAGGACTTCACAGAAGTAATTAAAAGCAAAATAGAAAGTAAACAAAACAATTATGATCATACGGTTGAGCTTGGTTTCCGCCGGGATGACAGCAGAGGTACTTGGGGTTGAGGTGGGTCATTTCGGGGTCGGTTTGCCAGTATCGCCTTAGAACATTCTCTGAAAGGCAAAGCAATTATTTACATAAGGGGTAAGTTCGTTGGTTTGCACAAGACATTTTTGTACTTTGAATAAATATTTGCCATGAAAAACAGGCATAAAAAGAGAGTATATTTGGATCGCACTTAGCAAAAAGGAACCAGCACGATTACGGTGTTTTCAAAATCGTGCAACTTCTCATCCTCTTTTAAAAATACTAATATATGTAGTGTCAAAATTTACACGATTATTTTCCTTTAAAATCAACAATTTTTTGGTGGGAATCCAAAGCTATCTGCTATTCTGGCAGATTTGTTTAGATAATTATGAAGAAGCGACATTTTCACAACACCGTAATCGCCTTTCCGTGTTTTTAATCTAATTAATTTTATTTTGCGTCACCGAGGGCTGTCGATAAGACTTGATATTTCATATTAAAAAGTGAATGCTTCTTAAAAACAGTTGACTGACACCTTATACACTCTGCGACAACCTATTCATTACAAGCGTAGCTAGAAAAATGTTGCAGGGAATGGTGGTAAGGGCTTATTTTTCCTTCACGAAGGTCCCTCTGCCGTGCTAAGGAAGAACGTCATATGACCCATCAGGGGTTTTCAAATTTCCTTCAAGATAAACTGAATTTACTGAGAAAATTGCGAATATTTTCCTCCAAATTTTTCGGTCAATTTTGTTCACGATTTAATGTAAAACACATGAAAATTTCAAGGAGAAATATGCATAACTTTCCTCAAAAATACATGTTTTATTCGGGAAAATTTGGAAACTGACGGATGTTCATACGGCGTTTTTCCATAGTACGGTAGTTAGGGTGTTTCTTATTTTTTAAATTTTCGAAATCGAAGGAGGTCCGGGTCTTAAAAGTTGATGTGTGGATAGCTTAGAAGCCCTGTGCAAGGAAAAAATTTTAAAACAATTTTTACCCGGTGCTCAAACGACTTAAGTGACACAGGTTGAAATTTGAGGTTTTTAGACAAAATAACACTGTTTCCTAGTGGAAAACGCCGAGTTACGGCCCTAAAGGGCGAAAATTTCGTCCGTTTGGTCGTATCTGCAACACAAAAGCCGCAAAACACCCGAGAAAGGCGCGCGCAAGGAAAGACACTTGGGGCAAAATGGACGCGCCGCAGCGCAACGCGCGCGCGCGTCCTCTGCACTGCCCAAGCGACATGCCGCATGCCGCACACACGCACTAAGCTTACGCTGGCCCGAAAGTTCCCGTACGTTGCAATGTATCATTATGAATTGACCTAGATACACACTAACATTAAAAAAAAGGTTGAAACGTATAAATACATCTAAAAAACACATTCTCTTAATATGATATTGGCTATAATGTAGGAAAATCAATTTCAACAAATTAAACAATTCAAAGTTAATCAACTAAATCAAATAATCGACAGTTTACTTAAAGGCTAAGAGTCTTCAAATGTTTATCCGACTATTTTCATTATATTTGGATGGTTTTTTGTGACTTTGGCTGTGACTTATAAGAGATCATGAAAAGAAGCTCTTGTTTGTATCAGGAGTTGGCAATTCAAGTACTGACTCTTTTGTAAATAAACTTCGCGTGAAACAAGATGGATTCAGTATGATTTTCTCTGAAACAAACCCCAAAACTTTAAAAAAACTCCCTCAGTTAAGGCCGTATTTAAGGAGATATTCCCGCTTTCCCGTGAGTCCTTCGTATTAAGCCAAACTTTCTATGCAAGGATAAGGAGCAAATCGACGGCGTAAGTTCGCAATCACGTATCTCGTTTGCGGTGTCTGTAAATCTTCGTCTTTATGTTATTTTTTAAAGGAGGACAAACTGATACCATTCCTTGAAGTTTATGCAGAACTTTGTTTGCACAGAGATGAAAAATCACGGTAGTTTAAAGAATTGCTGTTGAGTAGTTTTCCGTTTAAAAAGTATAGTAGGTATGACAGGAAGTCTGCGACGTCACAAACCGAGTTGTGTGGTTGCTGACTTACAACGTTGAAATGAATCAGCAGGATTGCCATGTTTTCAGTTTTGGAAACCCCAAACAAAGTGGCTGCCCTGTCAATGTATTATTTGCTCTTTGCGTGGAGAGTTTGACTTGAAACAGTGGCGGACTCTCAGGATGGGATGGGACATTCCCTCCATTACAGCATCAACTTTAAGAGTTTTTTTTCAGTTTTGGAGTTTGGCTCGGAGGAGACCGGTGAAACCATCGTGTTTCTCGCGAAATTGTACATATGAATCAGTACACAAATCGCTAATTCCTGACATATGCAAGATCTCCATCACCTTCCGATGTTACCTATCCTCCTGTTGTGGGCGGGCATCTCTTTAATTTTGCGTGCAGCATGATCATTAACAACTTTTATGACTTAACTACAGTAAAAGCTCGTTAAGACGACAAATTATTTTTTTTACATCGACAATTATGGAAGTATCAAGGGACCGAAAAAATTTCGTCTTAAGCGGATTTGCTTCTTAACCGTATTTCGTCTTAACGAGCTTTTATTGTACTTTTTTTTAACCTCTAAATATTCGGAAGTAAATAGCCATGGGGCTGAGTAAGAGTCCAGAAATGAAAATGGCAAATTCATGATATTGAAAAAAGGCTCTAGTGTTGGTTGTGAAGAGGACTGGCATTACCGGGCATTCTTCAGAGTAGGTACACATTGAGGCGGACATCTGCCATATTGGAAAAATTAAAAATGACCCCGAAAAATGACCTGGAGGTCATCGCAGACCTCAAGAAGTTTCGCAGCTTTAATGAGAGTACCTACAGCAGCTAGTGTTGCGTTCCGTAATTTATCCGGCCACGTACGTTACCAATGTAAGTAAAAGTTTGGTTCCCTTGGCATGGAAAGACTCGGCATGGACTTGATGAGAGATTGTCATCGGACACCAAAAGAGTCTTTGTTCACAACATGAAACACAATTTAGGGTTTCCTAATCCGCCTATCCGCCAGAACGTACAATTTAACTGATGTCTAGGGTCACATTTGAAGACAATTATTTTCATGATCTCTTATAAGTCACAGCCAAAGTCACAAAAAACCATCCAAATATAATGAAAATAGTCGGATAAACATTTGAAGACTCTTAGCCTTTAAGTAAACTGTCGATTATTTGATTTAGTTGATTAACTTTGAATTGTTTAATTTGTTGAAATTGATTTTCCTACATTATAGCCAATATCATATTAAGAGAATGTGTTTTTTAGATGTATTTATACGTTTCAACCTTTTTTTTAATGTTAGTGTGTATCTAGGTCAATTCATAATGATACATTGCAACGTACGGGAACTTTCGGGCCAGCGTAAGCTTAGTGCGTGTGTGCGGCATGCGGCATGTCGCTTGGGCAGTGCAGAGGACGCGCGCGCGCGTTGCGCTGCGGCGCGTCCATTTTGCCCCAAGTGTCTTTCCTTGCGCGCGCCTTTCTCGGGTGTTTTGCGGCTTTTGTGTTGCAGATACGACCAAACGGACGAAATTTTCGCCCTTTAGGGCCGTAACTCGGCGTTTTCCACTAGGAAACAGTGTTATTTTGTCTAAAAACCTCAAATTTCAACCTGTGTCACTTAAGTCGTTTGAGCACCGGGTAAAAATTGTTTTAAAATTTTTTCCTTGCACAGGGCTTCTAAGCTATCCACACATCAACTTTTAAGACCAGGACCTCCTTCGATTTCGAAAATTTAAAAAATAAGAAACACCCTAACGGTAGTCCTGGTATTGAGTGAAACCAAACGATCGAAACTTTTTGGCACCCAGGTGGGACACCCTCCCTTTAGGAACTCAGATTACCAACCCGCACGTATTTCACCAGACGATGGATTTTTTCACGTAATGGATCTATTCGACAGAGGTTTGATGTACCGTCTGCTTCTAAATACTAGAACATAACTTTGACAAAAAATTTTAGGATTCAAGTTAAAAAAGCTGAAAATGAGAAAATACCTAACAATTTCACTTTTCATTGTCATATGGTACTCATAAGAATAAACAATCTAAAATCTGGAAATGAGAAAATTCCTAACTATTCCGCTTTTCATTGCCATATGGTACTCATAAGAATAAAAAATCTATCACAAAAAACCTGTTATACACAGATTACTCGATTGACTCTTGAGGCCATGTTTAATGTTGAACCAAGCGATATCGATACAATCTCACCTCATGTATCGAATACGATCCATAATAAAAATGTATTTAAGAAAAGAGGCTCACATTTCTTGATGTATCCGCCAATGCCGGAGTATCCGAGGTGTGCAGAGTATCCATATCCAGGGTAAGCGCCGGCGTATCCAGGGTAAGCGCCGGCGTATCCAGGGTAAGCACCAGAGTAGCCAGACCAGCCGGCGGCGGAGTATGGCGCGGCGTAGCCAGAGTAAGCACCAGAGTAGGGCATGTAGCTACTGTAAGCCAAGTGAGTGGCGGCAGCGGCGGCGATGAGAGCGAAAGCGACGACCAACTGAAAAAGGTACACGCAATTTTGTCAATTTGAAAATGATTGCGGAACTGAAAGTACATTCAAATGATCTGGTAAAGGTTCTTACATGGAGATAAAACGGACACGTCTAGAGTACCTGTATAGGGAGAGTATGGACAATTCTGAAACTCCGAAAGTCCATCAGGCCTTCACCGATGCCTCCGCGAATAAAGTTAGGGCCCAAAAAAGCAGCCAACCTATGAATTTCGAATGTCCAGAGCGATTTACAAATACAATTGTTAAGAACCGTCGTTTATAAAGCATGTGATTGGCTTACTTTTTGCATAATTTTACTTATTTTTGCGAAAGAACGCTCATTTATGTACATTCTTGGCCATCTTGGTTAGAATTGAAATCTGTAGGCTGGCAGTGAAATTTTGGGTGTTAGAAGTTGCTCAGAAGGGTGGCTGCACTTTTGGGCCCTAAGCTCTCCATCAAGCAATCTGTCCATACTCTCGCTATAAAGGTACTCTAGACACGTCGAACAGTGGCGTGGCGTGAATTGCGATACATCGATTGTTATGCTATTTAAACCTATGGAAAATAATCGATATACAGGGTGTTCGCAGCGAACACCTTGATGATCGATTATTTACCACAGGTTTAAATGGCATTACAATCGATACATCGCATCTCACGCCACGCCACCGACGTCGAAATATGGAACTCCTATGCTGCCGGGCTAAGGAAGAACGCCGTATGTGCCTTCAGACGTTGCCAAGTTTGTTCCGATAAAAACCGAATTTACTGTGGAAATTGCTTACGTTATTTTCCGAAAACGTCGGAAAATTTTGTATACAATTTCATCTAAAATATCTGAAAATTTCAATATGCATGAATGCTGTCAAAAATAAATGTTTTATCAAGGGGATTTGGGCAACTCTCGAATGTTCGCACGGCGTTCTTTCCTAGCACGGCAGTGTGGGCCTCTAAGGAGGCGAACCTTACAATAAGAAAAACATCAGACAAGTGCCGCTGCGAATCTTCTGATTTCTATTTCAAACTAAGAGGGCCAGAAATGTTCGTAAATAAATGTTCTTCCGCGAAAATAAGTAAATTTACGCAAAATTTTAAGTCAAATGCGAGATTAACAAACGAAGGATTGTAAAACTGTGATAATACATCACTCCGGATAATTTGAATTCATAGGTTGGCTGCCTTTTTGGGCCCTAAGAGCTCCATGACCTAACCTCAAAATTTTTTTTTTTTTTTTTATTGCTGGTTTATTGGCTTATGTTCCGTTGGAACCTACAGCCATCGATAGACAGTATTTATTGTCCTTAGACATCTATAGGATCTGGGCACATCCATGCTCCAGGCTTTTCAAATTTTCAGGGATTAAGGCCGGGTGGAATCTGTTTCTGCAGATCCACTCGTCAGTTCCATGAAAATTTGTCGCCACCACCGGGATTCGAACCCGGGACCTATTGACCTAGAGTCAGACGCGAACCTCAAAATTACTGACTGTACTCTCTCCAGGTACTGTAACCAGAGACAAACTGTAACCTAGAGACCAAAACTGACACAACATTTCGCTGTTTCTGTAAAAGTCTGTGCCTTTGCGAAGCAATAACCATCGAAATGCACGACTTTATGTACGAAACTGATCCATAACGTGTGAAAGCACCAATACTAAATAGTACCATATCAAATTTGTGATGATTCATTGACATTTTTTTTTTTACAATTAGGAGAACGGATGTCGCTCATTGACTCAATGTATAAGAGAGATGAGCCCTTTCATTTTGGATCCTTGCAGTAATACCCGTCGCGCGCCGCACAGTGGATCGAGTCAATAGGAGAGGTCGGATGAACTTTGGAAAGTTTAAACGCTTACAGCTCCGCTCATACAAAACTTTGAGGTTCTCAAAGTGGTTTCATTGGTTTCCTCGTAAAATTTTCTTCCAAAATCACCCATTGAAATTTAACTGTGACGAAATAAACATCGAAATTGGCTGTTTTAGTCCAAAATTTCATGTCCGACCTCTCTAATTAACTCGATCCACTGTGCGCCGTTGGCACCGAGCCGCGGGTAAAAATGGTCAGCTAGTGCATGGACAGTCAAAACGCCTTCACTTCCGTGGGTATGCAACACGGAAATCCCGAATGGTGGTATTCAGGAGTCAAAATGAAAATTGTACAGTGCTCGTTGCATTCTACATTTAAAGGCACTTTGCCTGTTTTCCACTCAGTAGATTTAATACATCGGCACTATCATATCACCAGGTTGATATAAAACTTTTTCTCGCCAATCTTCTTTTCTTTTTTTTTAGAGAGAAGAAAGAAAGAAAATCGATAGGAAAATGTTTTATAACAGTCTGATTACTTGTTTTTCTTGTCCAGCAACTTAATTCTAGCATGCCAATGAAGTAAACTAATACTGATTTTTATCGCGACATGGTCAATTTTTTAAATAATGCTGGAGGGTTATAGTGCTACCTTCCTCTATAGTATGTAATGAGCGTCTTACAAATCCCTAATTTACTATATACCTACATTTCCTACGAATGTTCACAAATAATGTAATACTGTTGAGTATTTATGCTGATATACGTTATGTTCAATTTCTTATAGGAATCCGTAGATTACGGGAAGTATCGATCATTTTCAAAGGCACAAGCTATGTAGCAACGCAAAATTCTGGCGGATCTCGTCTCTATATCGGTTACATTCACTCAAAAGTGAAACTACCTTTTTGTTGGTTTTTCTCCTCTAACTGATCGACATATGACTAAAATTGGAATTAATTTCTGCCATTTAAAAAAAAAAAAAAGAAAAAAAAATTGGACTTCAGTTTGAACCGTGCACCTTGGCGAAACAGAGACATAACGCATTTCATACACCTCACTTTTTACTCGGGACGGTAAGTACAACCTGTGAAATCAAAATTTAACCCTGTTTAAATTTAAAAATATCTCAGGAAAAAAGCGTGTACCAAAGGCAATAGCTCCTAATCAGTATTTATTCTTTGGTAAAATACGATATTGTCAACTTCGAAATTAAAATGGAAAACTGAGTAAGCTCTGAGGTAAGAATCACAAACAATGGATAAGTACATGTATCACTTGCCTTTCAAAAGAATCTTTCACACTGACTTCAGTTCAGATCACACGCTAAATGCTGAGGTAGGTTAGTGTCTCACTGACGCTTATTTTAACAATGTAAGTTGGAGATTTTTTATCAGCACTGAGATTAATGCGCGCGTCAGATGTGCTGAATGGCATGCAATACTGATCTAAAATTTGCCCTTTGCATGAAGATTAAAAAATAACGGAAATATATTGCAAAGACCAGAATGAAATTTTATTTGAATGTGAGGTGATTACGTTATAGTTGCCCTTTCCAGTGACAGAGTTCGCGTTGTTCCAACAACTGATCCACATCCAGCATACATGTATTATACTGTCTATAAGACAAAATGAATTTCAAATATGCTAAAATGACTTGAAATCTCTCAAAATCCTCTCCGATTATTTTTGAAAGGAAGAAAAAACTGTGCATTTGCAGTAAGTATGCACGATTCTTGCAAGTAACATTAAGGTCAGGTTTGCGTGAAAATTTAAAGTGGCCATTTTGGAGGTGTTGATATTTTTCGCAGTTGAGCAAAGCTTTGAATATCGCAGTCCAAAGAAAAATAAAAAAAATAAGAATCAATTTTTATCTCCAGGAGGAGATGGTTTTTCTTTTAAATTTTTACATATTAAAAGCCATAAACTACGCTGAAATGTTTAAACAGATTTATTTCTCTCTCCTGAAACCGCGAAAAAATGTAATTTAACATGCTCATGTACTCACACCTACAACTGAGATTACATATAAGTGAACTCTTTAAGTTAAGGGATTAAACTTTTAAAAAAATTAAGTTTTTTCTTTTTCTACAACAACACTCTTTGCAAAAATCTTGATGTATAACCCACGAACATATGTCAGGGTATCTTAATATCTAATTTGAAAAATAGAATGAAATTGTGAATCAACCGCTGTACTAATTGCGAGGGGCGTTGGTTTATTTGAAAGGTGTTGTTCTCAATGCTTCGGGAAAACTATAAATTATTTTCTGGGGTTCGTCCCCGATTTTTAAATCCCTAAAAACTCATAAATTGGATGAGGGGAAGTGGGGATTTTTTTGTTTTTTGAAAAAATACACAAAAATACCCTCTTGGTCGATTGAACACACATCACTAGCAGCATACAAAAAATGATGAAAAATGCGACTCACCAACTTGAACATGTTGAAAAGGTTTGAGGTTAGTTTCGGGTCGGAGAAGTAAGTCACTAGATGTGCAGCAAAGCAACTGATAATGCAGGGACGTCCGCGCCGGTTTTTATATTGTCAAGAGCACCCCATCGTCGAATGGAAAAATAGGAAAATTAATGCTTGGAAATTAAAACTTAGCGAGGGGAGGCTTGATATCGAAAGGTGAAGGCCATTTCCCAGAGTCTGAAAGTGGAGGGAACAATACAGCCACACTAAGTAAAAACCTCGTTCCCACGAGGGATACTGGTTGGAGATGTGCTGTTTTAACTTGCCGTGACGAAAACAAAAGTGGAGGAAAACTGGTAGGAGGGACGAGTTCCACTGGCATATTTCCCATTTTCCTCCTCGGAGGAAAAATCTGTTTACAAGGAGCATTGTGTCTGGGTGAATGTCTCTCTGGCATTTTAAACTTTCGAGACGTGCTGCGAAGAGACCGGAGCTCATCTGATGTCATCCCAATTTTCACCGACAAGGAATTTGATAATTTCGTAGCTTCTGTTGTTTTGGCGGTATGGGTATGATTTATTCTCGAATACATTTCCTTTGAATTTTCAAAAGGCATGTCGTTTTGTTGATTGTTATTTTTTTAAAGAGCTTGATTTTCGGAAGACAAAGTCTCAGGTAATTAAGTCATATTAAAGGTGATACAGGTTTCTATGTAGGGCTAATTGGCAAGCTTATTTTTCTTTGAATTCTCATTAGTTTCAGAGTTTAAAATGCCAGCATAGTGTACTACACGGAGAAAACTCTGTGCAACCATCTTTTGCATATCTATGGTTTTTAAATTTTCGTTGACTAATTTGATATTTTATTTCCATTTTTCTGTAGTTTTTCTGAACTTCATTTTTCCCCTCTCTTTTTATAATTGAAGAAAGCAGATTCTATCGTGACCGAAAGTAAATTGCCACAAAAAGGTCGTTCTGAAGCTTTAATTTATAATAAAAGATTTTTTTAGTTTTTGGATTTTTTTCTGCGATATTTAGAACCCCTGAAAATTATTATGAACATACCTACTTGGAAATCAGATTACATTGAAATAACGAAACAATAATTCAAGATAAAATCTAGTTAGGGTCGCTTTTCTTCCTAAGTGATTGCTACGAAAAAAGATCCGTTTAAAAAGAAAAAAAAACATAAAAAAACGAAATTTATTCTCTGCACTTATTTGTATAATGGAGTGATTCACAAAAAGCTTGTTACATAACAAAGCTATCAATTTGTCACTTTTGTGACATAAGGGCGTATTAACATTTTGAGATGAGCCTGTTTGCCCGTTTGACTCCATGATATTCAGAGCTGATATGAAAATGCTGTTACAGCTTTACCTTGATGGAGTGATAAAATGTCAAAGCAACCCGGAGATACGACAATGCAAAGCTTTAAAAAACCGTATTCCCGAGAATAAGCTATTTAAAGTTTTAATACGCCATATTTGGAACTCATGCTATGGTTAGATTAAAATGCAGCTGCACGGTTTCTTTCGATGGAAAAAAAACCCCTCGCTATTTCAAGAAAACTTCCTTTATTTTTCTTTTCTATTGGACGTATTTCTGTCAAACGGAAATATGTGCATTAAGACATGAGCCTTGAGACCCATAAGAATGAATGCATAACAGGGCTTACGTCATAATGCACATAGTTCCGTTTGACAGAAATACGTCCTATTATCAGAATATACTGTATGAATCAAACAATAAAATTGACTTTTTTCTCTGCGAAAAAATAAAATAGGAACGGGATTGTTAAAGCACCGCAGTAGATATACGTGATTTCGCACTTCGGCCGGCGATTTACACATTATACCATACATTCCTACACTGGAAAAAAAACACATTGGATCTGGAGTCCAGACTCTTGAAAACATTGACAAGAAAAAGGACTCTTGATTCAAGCGGATTTAAGCTTAAATCAAAAGGAAATCCGCTCAAATTAAGAGGCTTGGTTCTTGATGTGAGCTTAAATCTGATTACATCAAGAGTATTTTTTCTTGTCGATGTTTTTAAGAGTCTAGAATCTAGATCCAATGTGGTTTTTCCAGTGCTCCACTTTTTCCAACAATTTTATTCGCAATTCAATCTACAACATTCAAAAAATTTCAAGATAAAATGTGCATAACTTTTTGTATAAAAAAATATTTTTTCCAGTTTCTTCTTCTAAGTTTTTTTTCCAGTGTATTTCCGGAAAATCAAAAGAGTAACGCCTGACGCCTAACGTTTGAGGCGCGAAACGCTTCGAGGGTCCGGACCACCGAGCAGCCTGGGGGCGTGCCCCCTAGTGTACAATAAAGTTCCTTGAATGACTTATTTTAAAATGGATAATCTCACGATAACACCGAAAGTAGGTGACTTTTTGTGGTGCCATGGAGGATGGTCTGAGATAACTGTGTGTAATCGTGTTTTCCTCCATGGGCATTGAAGCGACAAAAACAAGGTTAGTAGTCGGACGAGCCGGTTGACTCATGATTTAATAACTTAATAAGCCTCTCATCTCTTTTGTAAAGAGAATGTGGTATGAAGGTAGGGTATTTTTTTCAGAGAACTAAGGACGCCACCCAGAACGCGAATTTCAAAACTTATTATATCGAGAGTTAATACGTGCAATCTGATTTAAAGTGGTGGTATGATCTCTCAGATAAGATGAGAAACGGGTTTTTTTTCTTTTTTCACGTTCTGCGAACTTCTAGGCTCAGCAAAATAATGAGGACGGTAGCTAAAATAGTTATCTCCGAGCAATTTTTTTCTCAGTTTAATATTTAGGAGGACTGTTTTCCGGATATTCTGTATCATTATCAAAATTTACAAGAAATATGGGTTGTTTCTTTGAATTTCGATAGTGTTGCCATTTACAAAATTAACTGGTACTTGAAAGTCCCAACCCGAAACAAAGTGTCTAAATTTTGAAAACTCATGAATAACCTATCAAAGGGAGATGATCAAAGGAAATCAGTAAAAGTATTGCTTCAAAGAGACGTCCGATTTCTTTGAAGCGATTTCCGACGGATTCAATGAGAACTTCTCTTACGTTGTATTGCCCAAAAGTATGAACATGTTTATCCGTGTATTTTTCTCAGCATCGAATCAATAATAATTAATACAAATAATAATAATTTAATAAAATTAACTAGCTCTGTGTAACTAGA